ATCGGATTTGATGCGCTTTCGCCTGCAGTGTGAACGTAGCCTAAGGATCTCCTCCTCTCCTCTCTCTGCAGATCATCGTCTGGGGTGACTACGGTCGGATGGACCATAAATCATTCATGGGCGCTGCCCAGATTCTATTGGATGATCTGGACCTGTCCAATATGGTAATTGGCTGGTTCAAACTGTTTCCTGCCACCTCATTAGTGGATCCTGCGTTGGCGCCGTTGACCAATAAGGAGACAGAAGGTGGCAAGTCTTAGCATCAGGAGGCATGGCTGATTGGTCATAGACACGTTACAGGATGGGCCCTAAAACAAAGTCTCAGAATCCTCTGCTGCTGCATGCTGCATGATGACATCACAGAGATGACATGACAATTCATGATGATGTCACTAGGACGATGAGGAAGGTGCTATTCCTGATCCGCCCAGTGCGGGGGGAGACACTCAACAAAGGATGCTGGGTAAAGAAAGGAGTGGCCATGTGACCTCCAGCTGCCAGCTAATCGCAGGAGCTCCTTGGAAGTCATACGACTGTTAAAGACACGTCAGGAACCCACAAGATTGAGTTATGTGATAGTATTCATGGAGACACAGGAACATAGAGGGGGCTTCTTTATGTTTATGCATGGAATGACAAAAACATTAGAACATAAACTCCATCGAAGAAAAACACCACACCAACCAGTAAAATCATGAAAACGTGAAAACAAAAGAACATGAGAACCACAAACATGACAACATGTGAGAGCATGAAAATATGTAAGACCATGCCAGACTGTGAGAACATGAGAATGTTGTCTAAAACTTCAAAATAAAGATTCTTAAACAATCTCTGTGTTTCTGTTTAGGACATTATGATCAAGTTAGGTACATAACTCTGGTTTTGCAAGGTTCTGATGATATTACTGAGAACACTGGTTCTGTGATTTTTACAAAGGTGACTGGATCTGTGAGGTCCTACACATTAAAATGTTTTGGGGTCTTTAAAAGTTCTCCTGTAGCTGACTCACTATGTCTGAAGCAAGAGTTCATCAGGTTCTACAAGTTCTATTGCACCGCTGACCCTGGTGTTTCTAAAAGATCCTACTACTCTATGGATAATTGCTACACAAACTGGTTCTTAAACGCTTTTCTACTGTACTTGAGCAATCAAAGCGCTTTCTGCAACATGCCCCATTCACACAAGCACTTTTTTCTTTAATTAATTGCTTTCTATCTAACATTCACACGCCAATGCATCAGAGAGCAACTTGGGGTTAGTATCTTGCCCAATGATATTTGGCATGCAGACTAGAGCAGCCAATGATTGACTCACCAACCTTCCAATTAGCAGGTGAGCTATAACCCATGTCTGTTATCTTTTCCGTATTCTCTCTGTTTACCTGTATGCAAAGTCATGGAGATGCAAAGTCATGATTTTTGGCTCCCTGGTGTTTGACTCGGATTAAAAGACTGGGTCAGTGTTCTCCATTTGGTGAACTGTTGTTGTGTTTTGGCTATGTATAAATAAAACTGAACTGAATTGATAGCTGGAGTAGGAGTTCAGGTTTGGATCCAGTTGCATCCGGGATGGGATGAGAGCTTTTACTGGTTAGCAAAACAGATTCTCACTGTGTTGCTATACACCTCTTGTGGTCTGATTTCACTAGCCACTTCTGGATCCAAACATGATATGCCATGTTCTGACTGAGGGATTTAAATAAAAAACTAAAACGGGCAACTCGACTAAAATTTCTGGCAAAAAAAATGAAGACCGAAACTAAACAGTAAGAATGTTTGTAGGATTACCTGGAATAT